GAGCCATATAACTCTCACACCATCAACACAACAGAGCTGATCTTCAGACTGAAGAGAGATGGAGATGATACAGCTCAATTGCATATGCATGATCAAAATTGAGTTTTTCCTCAAAATTAAATACATATAAATAAAAATAAATACAGTTTGATAATAAAATAATAAGATGATGTACCGGCCACTTTATTAGGTACACCTGTCCGACTGCTTGTTAATGCAAGTTTCTAATCAGCCAATCGCATGGCAGCAGCTCACTGCATTTAGGCATGCAGACACGGTCAAGACGATCTGCTGCAGTTTAAAGTGAGCATCAGAATGGGGAAGAAAGGGGATTTAAGTGACTTTGAACGTGGAATGGTTGTTAGTGCCAGACGGGCTGCTCTGAGTATTTCAGAAACTGCTGATCTACTGGGATTTTCACGCACAACCATCTCTAGGGTTTACAGAGAATGCTCCGACAAAGAGGAAATATCCAGTCAGCGGCAGTTCTGTGTGCGCTAATGCCTTGTTGATGGTCGGAGGAGAATGGCCAGACTGGTTCCAGGTGACAGTAACTCAAATAAGCACTCGTTACAACCGAGGTTGTAAGGTGTACCTAATAAAGTGGCCGGTGAGTATGCACAATTTATTGTGCATGTTGATGGCCAGATTGATTTCCTAATATCAGCATCAGCCAATAAAAAATCTGTATCGATAATCCTTGATTCATTACATCGCATAATGTCAGGGTATACACATTTTTGATTATATCAAGATTATTCGTTTTCATTGGTTTTTGTTTTCAATACACTACAATCAGGCATTTATTAAATGCAATGACATGATGTCAGAAATATTAATTTACCTAGCATTAAATGTATGCATTCCTATATATATATATATATATATATATATATATATATATATATATATATATATATATATATATATATATATATAGTGCGAAAACAGTGCTACTTCAGTCTGTATCCAGCTCCTCTTTAGCCTATTACACTGCAATCCAAATCAAATAAGCAGGTTAAATCTGGCAGCCTACTGCACTTGGCATTGCAGTTCGTTAATGTCTAACTATCACGCACAACAATTAACCTTCAGGGGTGCGAAATCTGTTTGTGAAGAATAATCCACGGTGCATAAATACAGCACAGCGCTGGAGAAAACAGCGTAGTCTGCAAGACCCCAGCGGTGCATGAGTGTCCTCGGGGTCGTCATTACCTCAAAGCACAGAAATACATTCATTAGCAGGCTACATGTTAGCAACACTTATATATCTCTCTCCAGCCGAAGCCCCTCATGCAAATAAAAGCGTGTTCTCCTGCAGGCGTGCGGAGTGTGTGGTGAAGCAAATTGGATCGAATCTAATTCAGTTCTCACAAGGAATTAATCAATAACGCTGAGGAATGGCTTTCAGCAGAAAGTGCCCGTCTCGTTTGCAGTGTTTGGGGTGCAGTCTCCCCTCATAAGTCATGCATCTCCATACTGCTAATCAGATGTTTCTCCGCTCTATGGCCCTCCATCATCCGCTGTTGTTCTGATCTCCCTGACAGTGCCGCACTTGAGAAAGAATAGCTTTTCCATTACAATTTCTCGATTAGGCCTGACACGCTCAAGAGGGAGCCCAATTCCCAACCCTCGGCCCGAAGGTGCAACGCAGGCAGATGGATGCATTAACTCGGGCAAAGCACGAAGGAAGCTTTTCACATGCTAAAAGTCATCCACGCAATCAATGGCGAGTGCATCCGCAGACCTGCCGCCGCATTTGTTGTCTAAATGGCAGATATTCTTCCCGAACGCAACACTTAAGGTTGATTTAATTCTGTTTGCATGGCTTGAGAAAGTGCTGGCTGTCAAAGCATCTGCAAATGCACGACACGAGACTTTAGTGTGGCTTCGTAATGGGAAATCGTGCTGTAAATAACGGCACCCTACACTGTAATGGTGTTGCGAAGGTCTTTGACGTTCTTTCTTGAGTGTCCTACAGTTTGCATCGTGCAATTTAGAGATCACTTTATACGATTTGGCTCATGCTTTACAATAAGGGTTTATTAGTTAACATATTTACTGTACTAACATGAACCAATAATGAACAAGCATGTATTAATTATGCTTCAACATTTAATACTGCATTATTAAAACCAAAATGCATGCTTGTCAACAGATATTCATCCCGAACGCAACACTTAAAGTTGATTTAATTCTGTTTGCATCGCTAGAGAAAGTGTTGGCTGTCAAAGCATCTGCACGAGACTTTTGTGTGGCTTCATAACGGGAAATCGTGCTGTAAATAAAGGCACCCTGCGCTCTAATGGTCTTGCAAAGGTCTTTGACGTTCCCTCTCAAGTGTCTTACAGTGTGCATCATAGCGAGGGATCATTTCCAGAGCACTTTATCAGACGTGTTTTGTGTAAACAGTAGAGATATGCATCTCTGAACAGTCCTACAGTGTGCATCGTGCAATTTAGAGACCACTATATATGATTTGGGTCATGCTTTAAAGTTAGGTTTCATTAGTGATTAGTGAGCATCAACCAACAACGAACAAGAGTTGTAGAGAATTAAGTATATTCAACAATTAATATTGCATTATTGTTAGCATGCATTTGTGTTTAAACAGTCCACAGCAGATATTCTTCCCAAATGCAACATTTAAACTTGATTTAATTCTGTTTGCATGGCTTGAGAAAGTGCTGGCTGTCGCAAATGCATGACACAGGACTTTTGTGTAGTTTCATATTGGGAAATGGTGCTGTAAATAAAGGCACCCTGCACTGTAATGGTCTTGCGAAGGTCTTTGACGTTCTTTCTTGAGTGTCCTACAGTGTGCATCGTGCAATTTAGAGATCACTTTATACGATTTGGCTCATGCTTTACAATAAGGTTTTATTAGTTAACGTATTTACTGTACTAACATGAACCAATAATAAACAAGCATGTATTAATTTTGCTTCAACATTTAATACTGCATAATTAAAACCAAAATGCATGCATGTTAACAGATATTCTTCCCGAACGCAACACTTAAAGTTGATTTAATTCTGTTTGCATCACTTAAGAAAGTGCTGGCTTAAGAAAGCATCTGGAAATGCACGACACCAGACTATTGTGTGGCTTTAAAATGGGTTTGCATTGAAATTATGTAAATAAAAGCACCCTGGTCTAATGGTCTTGCGAAGGTCTTTGACATTCCTTCTCGAGTGTCTTACAGCAGTGGTTCCCAACCTGGGGTCCGCGCCCCCCTAAGGGGGGCGCCAGAGTTCACAGGGGGGGCGCGGGAGAGGATAAGTATTGAGGTAGAAAAAGGCATAAAAATGGTCCACTATTATAAAGGGCTTTGCAATTAATCGAAAATCCGATTTAGATTTCGGTTTCAAACGATTATAAAAAAGCATTAATCGAGATAAATGATTATTGCATCATATTTCACCACAGTTGTACACGTGTTGCTCTTAAAAGCGCGAAAGAGCTTATGTGTGTGTGCAGCACGATCACGCAGTCAGAAGCATGCGGCCGGTCAGCATTCACTCTCATTCACACACTGAGGCCCCGTTTACACTAGTGCGTTTTAGTTTGAAAACGCATAAGTTTTGCTACGGTTACGCCATCCGTCCACACTACGCCGGAGTTCTCGAGCGCCGAAAACGGAGCTTTTTGAAAACGCTGGAAAGGCCGTTTTCATTCTGAAACGCAGCTGCTCCGTCTCAGTGTGGATGGGGAAAGACGGAGACATTTGAAAACGGAGGCGGGGCTGCCGACGTTCGCCTCTCTGATTGGGGCTTTTCCTCAATATTAAGTAGCCCACACACAGTTCAGTCTCGCATCCTCTTCTTGTAAGTTAAGACGTCGCAAGTTTGATCAAGGCTGCAGTCTCCCCCTTCTCAGTTTGATATGTAAAACATACAGAGGACACGAGTAAATCTTCAAAGGGAACAGTGTACTTTATAACTTCATTCACACACTCAAAAAAATGATATGTTGGCGTTAATTAACTTTTTTTTGTCCACTCGTTCCACGTAACTGAGTTAAGTTACCTTTAAGAAAGAATATTAATTTTAGTGAACTTAAGTTAGTTACATAAAGGTAATGTAATGTTGTTTAGTTCAATCAATGTAACATTCATAATTTAGCTTTAATCAATGTAGTTATTTAAGTTCAATTATTCTAAAATTTATATTGTTATGTTTAACCAAATAAAAAAACTGTAAACTGAAAACTGTTTCTGTTTCATTGAGTTTATTCAATAGCATTTTTACAGTTTTACAAATTTTCCAGCAATAAAATGATTATCAAAATCCAAATATTGTCTTTATCTGTATCTTCACTTATTACAATAAGTTAAATACTGTATGTACAATATACTATTAAATTAATATTAATACAAGTATGAAGTAAATTAAAAACAATAAATGATTTACAAAAATAAGCTTACAAAAACATCATAAAATACACTTTTTAAATTACTTTTCATATATTACAAAAAACATTTTAAAATAATATTCTGCCATTAAATGAGTTACAAAAATATACTTAGAAAAATTAAGTCTTCTTTTGTAAACTATGCTGTAACTTCTTTACACTGAAAAAGCAGATAACACTTTAGTTGTTCAAAGAAAGATTACCACTTTAAAGCAATGTAACACAATCAGCATTACATCATAAATTAGACCAACCATCACAGAACATGCAATAGCTAGACACATTCATCTCTCTGGGCACCATTTCTGCACATTTGCACCAGACACTTTCTTACAACCACTCCCTATATCTAAAGAAACAAACACACACGCAAAAAAACATTGTGCATGAAGTCTGCTTCACACAGGTGAGTGGGCTTGACAAACCACATGTAGAAGCATTCTTAATTCTTAACATTTTTTTGTATAATTAGCACATCTTGGGTGTATTGCCTCTTCTTGTTGATTTGCTGAATGTCTCCTCAATTGTAAGTCACTTTAGACAAAAGAGTCTGATAAATGTTAATGTAACTACTGTAGATTCATAAGGTGGTGTTGCACATCAAGGTTTGTGCTTCATCATGCCCAGCATCCTAAAAATGTCAAGTAAAAAAATAAAAAGTTTACCAACAGATCAAAGGTGAAAGGAGGAAATAGTTTAAGAGAAAAATGCAAAATGTAAAAAAAAAAAAAAAAAAAAAGTAAATGGCTTACCGTGTACTCACTCACAAGGGCTTTTTCTGAATGCATTCACACCTTTTTTTCCACTGGTGATGTTCTAAACGACATGAAATGACAATTAGTAATTTACTAAATAATTATTAGTTAAAATTACTAGTAATTTTTACTGTACATCATTTTAATGCGTGTCTAGTCATCTAAAGGCATAGTACCTGGATTATCCACAGTCTCCTCAACCAGATATGGGACAGAGGCTGAGCTGTAAACCTGAGGGAGAAAAAAGATCCGAGTGAGCAAAGATTTGTAATAATAAAATATAATAATATAAATATATAGCATTTAGAATAATATATTTATAATAATAAAAATGAAAAAAAAAACTGCAAACTACTAAACTTAAAAGTTTAAATGTGTTAGATGACCAAACATATAAGCTTACATTAAATATGTCATCATGCTAGATGTCATCCTATATACAGTAAGTGTCACATATGCTTGTGCCAACACCACCTTTTAATTAATATTATGTAAGTTATCAAAACTGGCATTAAAACTTGATAAACTGCTTGACACTCATTTAAAATTAGACTATTTCTTACTACCAACGTTTGCAACTTTATTTTGGGGTTAATATATACCAAGTATAAAATTTCACAGGAATGCAAAAAAACTAGAAATTAATCTGCCTTTAATGTGAAAAAGACACAGGAAACATGACAATTTCATAACAATACTATACACAAACACAACATAGTATTACAAGGAAGTTCATTAATGATTCAAATGTTGTCACAGCCTCAGTATGAATACATACAAAGTAAAAAAATCTCACCTGCGTCCACATTAAGGAAAGCTTTCTGTGCACGTTCTCAATTTGTACTGTAATCTTCATCTTTTGATTCCCATATTATGGCGCCGATCTAAACGAGCTGAGAGTGATCGTTGTGGTTTGAATCTTCTGACTTCCTGTGTTGTTTTGAAACTGCGCATGTGCAGATATTACTCCACCTATTGACCAAAATGCAGTACTGCAGAAGCAACACAACTCCCTTTCATTCATGTTAATTAAGCAAGCTGTTTAAATGTGAAAACTTACTTTTTCTAATTTTTTCCAACATAACACTTTTATTTTAAGTACACAAACATAAGCAAATTGTTTAATTTAAACATAGTTATATTCTTTGGACCAACAAAAGCCAAAATTCATTTTTTTGAGTGCATCACCTTGGCTACGTTGTTTCACTTTCTCAACAATAAAATGTAAACATGATTTAAGGAACTGCCTATTTTCTTTTTAATATTAGCAACTTAACAGACAGCAGAAATGTTGAGGCGTCGTGCTGCATATATGAGCGTCATCTTCACTGTGTGGATATTTATAACAAAACGGAGCCGATAACAACTGCCTCCTTTCAATTTCAGTGAAAATACGAAACACAGCCTCTCTTTTGCTGAATATCAGTTTTAATAATCGATAATTATAAAAGTATAACATACAATAAGTTTATAAATTGTAGGAAATAAAGGCAAGCGATCAGTCAATGTACCTGGATTAATCATTAACTTATCTTTGCGCTTAACCAAAACATGTTACCCGTGAACAAGTAACTTAATAGATTCCAATGACCAAAGTCAGCTTGGCCTATGTCGTTGGATAAAGAACATGAATGAAATATCACGTTTAGCAAATATAGTGAGATTAGATCCAGCGGGAGATGCTTGATGAGCAGTCCGACAAGCAGAGCTCTCATCTGGGTAGAAATGCTGGAGCGCTTGCCCGAGTGTGCGTTTTCAGCGTTTTGGTGTGGACGGAGATCTGTTCAGAAACGCTGGGTAAAACGCGAGTGTGGACGCGGATCGTTTTCATTCTACAACGCCGTTTTAAAACTAAAACGCACTAGTGTAAACGGGGCCTGAGACGAGCAGAGGAGCGCAGACATCTGAAGTCATCTTAACGTGAACGCTTTAATGGTCAAATAGGTGTCAAAACGCGGTGTTTAGTGATTATTTACATTAACCATCATTTGTGTAATAAACAAACGAGTTGAGAATCAAAAGACGTGAATCCTTCTGCCGCCTGTTTTTATCATTATTAAACAAACATAACGAGAAAACCTTTGCTGCTCTTGACTGAAGGAATGCTGTAGCTAAAGTGTTTTTCTTACAGTGAAGATGCTTAAAACACAGTTTGTTTCATATTTTTATAATATTGTATTCATTTCTCTTTCCATTGCAGGGTGGAAAATAACTGTATGTATACAGTTGAAGTCAGAATTATTAGCCCTCTTGAAAATTAGCAAACCTTTTCCTGCCCAATTTCTGTTTCATGGAAAGAATATTTTATTAACTTATTTCTGAACATAATAGTTTTGATATCTCATTTCTAATTACTGATTTCTTTTTGTCTTTGCTATAATGACAGCACATAATATTTTACTAGTTATTTTTCAAAATACAAGCATTCAGATTAAAGTGCAGTTCAAAGGCTTAATTAGAGTAATAAGGCAAGTCATTTTAACGGTAGTTTCTTCTGCAGACAATCAAAAATATATATTGCTTAAGGGGGCTAATAATATTGACCTTAAATTGGTTTTAAAATATTTAAACCAGTCTTTATTCTAGCTAAAATAAAACAAATAGAAGAAAAAATATTATAGGAAATATTGTTAAAATTCCTTGCTCTGTTAAACATAATTTGGGAAATATTTATAAAAAAAAAATCTCAGGAGCGCTAATAATTTTGACTTTAACTGGCAATGGTTTTGAATAATCGTGATTACAATTATGACCAAAATAATCGCGATTATGATTTTTCCCAAAATCGAGCAGCCCAAAAAATAAAAAATAATCTAAACACATGCTTAAAATTCCAACATAATAGTGAAAATAATTAAAATAAATAACTTTAAATAATTATTTAAATTTTGCTCACTCGCGCAATCTGCTTGTCAACGTGTCGTACAGGCAAAATCAAAACAAAAATGGCAGACAAACGTAAATGCTGTGATTCTTCAGAGGCAAAGAAAAAGATTAGACAGCATGACAAAGCCTACCTAAATTTTGGTTTCATTGAAGGCCAAGACAAGTTAAAACTGATTAATTAATATTTTCTATACATATTACTATATATTAATATTACACAAACACACACACACACACATATATATATATATATATATATATATATATATATATATATATATATATATATATATATATATATATATATATATACACACAGTACATATGTGTGTGCGTGCGTGCGTGTGTATTTATATGGTGGGGGGGCTCCAGTGTTTGTATATGTTTATGGGGGGGGCCCCAAAGAAAAAAGTTTGGGAACCACTGTCTTACAGTGTGCATCATAGCGAGAGATCATTTCCAGAGCACTTAATCAGACTTGTTTTGTGTAAACAGTAGAGAGATGCATCTCTGAACACTCCTACAGTGTGCACTGTGCAATTTGGAGACCACTATATATGCTTTATAGTAAGGTTTTAGTGATTAGTGAACATGAACCAACAATGAATAATAGCTGTACAAAATTTATTAAGCGTAGTTCAACATTTACTAATGCATTATTGAAATATCATGCTTGTAAACATTATTAATTCACCGCGAGTTAACCTGAACAACTTTATTTCTATTTACTATTAGCATTAGCAGAACATGACCTGAACAAAACCTCTAAACCAGTGGACCAAACCTTATCACCGTGGACCGGTCAACACTTGATAATCTTGGTAGCCCTGGTGGGGTGGGCTTACAGTGTATATGGCATAAAAAAAAGTGTTCAAATTATAAACACAACATCACATCGCTTCACAACATTTCTTACTGACATTGTTTAAATGTCGTTGGTTATACAGAAAAACAGTTTCTGAGTTTACATCACTGTTAAACTATCCAAACTCTGGTGTATAAAGCAGAATCAGACTCATTTAAACACCAGTGGCGTTTCCTCTCTACACCAACACATCTGGCCCTGACTGATGCTCAGTGCTGACACCTGTTGGCTCACAGTGATAAAGGTGAGCTGTTTTGTGTTGTGTAGAGTTCAACCGGGCGTCTCAAAATAAACACCTGCGGTATCCACTCATTAGGGAGCTTCTGCTGTTTAGAGCGGTGCAGGTCTTATCATCGGCAAACACAAACCAGGATTCTTGAGCTCGCCACTAATGGCCACTAATGGATTTAGCGCTCGTCTGCCATGCTGTGAAAAAACCCTCTGTATGTCAGTTTACACAAACAAGTCTGATGAAGTGGCCTTAAAATGCTCCCTAAGCATGATGCACACTGTAGGACACTTGAGTAGGAATCGACAGACCATTACAGAGCAGCTTTATTTAATGCAACATATAGAAATGACTCTTCATATTTCATTCTGGCATTGTGTGTGTGTGTGTGTGTGTGTGTGTGTGTGTGTGCTTGGGGGCATTTGTTTTGTAACATCAAATTTAAGCAGTGGGTCATTAGCCCAATGCTCAACCCCCAACGTGGAAGACCAGGACCCCACATAGCAAATGTTTTCTGGCCCACACAATAACTATTGCGTTGCCCAAGTACTGCAAAGAATGACGGTCCTGAAGTGGCCCATAACTGGATTAAAGACAAGGGCCACACATAAGCCATAGCCTGCCTGAATCTCAGCCAATTTATTACCTGGTCCTGAACTGGCCCAAAACAGGTTTATTATGGTACCAATTCTCAGCTATAACCCACACAACAAATGGACTTGGCCCAAATGTGGCCTCATTATGGCACTGCTAGCGTGTTGCCAGCACTGGCATGCATAATGTCAGCCGAATGTGGGCCATGCAGGGCAATGATGGCACTGCATGCATGATGGCAAACTACATTTGGGCCAGTTGTGAATGGGAGGTGTGTGGCCCAGATCAGTGTAGCGATTGTTCACATTGGGTAACATTAGGCTGAGTTATGGCTGAGTTTTTGGGGTTTCTGGGTAAAGGGTGGTGTTGATATGTTTACCTTCCCACAAAGCAAGTGTTTTCTTGCCCAGCTCTGGGCCACACAATAACTTTTTCCTCGGCCCAAGTTCTACAAATGACGGTCCTGAAGTGGCCCATAACTAGATTAAAGACAAGGGCCACACATGGGTGAATCTCAGCCAATGTATCACCCTTAACTGGCGCTGAACTGGGCCAAAACAGGTTTATTATTGGTATCAGTTCATAGCTATGAGTTTATACTTCAACCAGAAGCACCAAACACTCAGCCATAACTCAGCCTGATGTTACCTAAACAATGTGAACAATCGCTACACTGATCTGGGCCACACACCTCATCCACAACTGCCCCAAATGTAGTTTGCCATCATGCATGCAGTGCCATCAGGGCTGGCGCGTCCATAGAGGCGACCTAGGCGGCCCCCTAGGGAGGCAGAATAGAGAGGGCGGCGCCCCCGACACTACCCTCACCTCTCGCGCCCTCAGTTATATCCGCGTCTAGGACGGCAGAATAGAGAGGGCGGCATCCGCGACACTACCCTTACCTCTCACGCCCTCAGTTGTGTCCGCGAAACTACCCTCACCACCCGCGGCCTTGGTTATATCCGCGTCTAGGATGGCAGAATAGATAGGGCGGCGTCCTCGACACTACCCTCACCACCCGCACCCTCAATTTTATCCGCGTCTAGGACGGCAGAATAGAGAGAGCGGCGTCCCCGACACTACCCTCACCTCTCGCGCACTCAATTATAACAGCGTCTAGGACGTCAGAATAGAGAGGGTGGCGTCCCCAACACTACCCTCACCTCTCGCGCCCTCAGTTATATTCGTGTCTAGGACGGCAGAATAGAGAGGGCGGCTTACCCGACACTACCCTCACCACCCGCACCCTCAGTTATATCCGCGTCTAGGACGGCAGAATAGAGAGGGTGGCGTCCCCGACACTACCCTCACCTCTCGCGCCCTCAGTTATATTCGTGTCTAGGACGGCAGAATAGAGAGGGCGGCTTACCCGACACTACCCTCACCACCCGCACCCTCAGTTATATCCGCGTC